CCCCCCCCCCCCTGAGCCCCCCACCCCCCCCCCCCCCCCCCCGTGGGGGGGGGGGGTGTCAAGGGGGTGGGCTCTGCTATCCCACAAGCCCCTGAGGCGGGGAGGGGATGTCTGCCGGGGTCTCCACCCAAGCACCTCGCCCTGGACCTGGAGCTTCTGACTTCCGGAGCTTTCTGAGTAATCAGAGCATGTCTGCCGGCAGCTGCCCCCTCCCTGGCTGGGATTTCCTGTGCCTCTGGGGTCCGGAGGCCACGGCATCCTCTTGGGTTGTGGGAGGGGAAACCAAGGCACTGAGGGTGGCAGACCCTTGCCTGGCGTCCCTAGCAGGTTCAGCCTCCTGAGCGTCCAGCCCTGACCAAGGACGGTGCCTCATCTGTCACACGGGAGGGAGGGGCGCTTCGCTTTGCCTTGTGGAGGGAGCCCCTCCGACATTGTGGGTGGGCTCAGACAAGTCTTCCTCTGCCTACTTGGGGCTCCAGCCACACAGGTTAAATGCTCTAGGCTTCCAGCACCTCCTCTAGGACTTGCTGTGTGATCTTGGGCGTGTCAGAGGTCCTCTCTGAGCAGCTGTTTCCTGTTCTGTAAAGTGGGGAGCATCCTTTATGTTTAAGATGCACACGATCACCTAATTCTGGGTGACCCATCTCAAGGGCGAGGCTCCCGAGGGTCAGACACAAGAATCCCCACCCACAGTCCCACGGTTTTTAGGGACCCAGCTGGAGTTTCTCGGCCAGGTCCTCACTCTGCCAACTCAAGCCTCCCGTGGCCCCTAAATACACCAGACACAGCCCCACCTCAGTGCCTTTGCCCTGACCGTGTCTCCCCACCCCGGGACGCCCTCCCCAGATCACCCCACGGCCCTCACGGCCGCCTCGGGGCATCGGGTGGGCTGTACGTGCCTTTCCGTCCTGCAGCGCGCTCGGAACGCTACCGCCACCTGGGCTCTGAGGACGAGGAGACCAACGACGAGGAGTCATCCACGGAGATCCCCCAGTTCTCGTCATGTTCCCACCGGTTCAGCAAGGTGGGCCCGGGGACCTAGCTACGGCACTGGGGATGTTGCAAAATGTTGGTTCGAGGTTGGGGGCGGGGTTCTGCTGCTTTCCGTCGTGATGGTGGTTGAAATACGTATGAAATATACCATCAGAGCCGTTTGATTGATTGATTGATTGACCGATTGGGGGGGGGGGCGGGGTAGAGTTTTTCCCTTTAACGAAATGACCTTGGAAATGACGTACCTTTCCGTGACGCCAACGCTACGGTTTTCGGAGTCACAGTAAGATACGCAGAATTGCATCCATAATTAACGTGAATGCCAACACTTCCAGCAGTGATTTCAGTTACGTGGCGAACACAGTCAAGAAAGCAGCCACCGGACAAACGTGGGCTCCTCTCCTGCCTCCCCCTCTTCCCGGGAGGTGGCGGCAGGGGCAGCTGCAGCGGCAGAGGTCAAAGGGGTGGCGCCCCATCGTAGCCATTTTAAACTACAATTCGGTGGCATTCCGCGCATTCATAAGGTCGGGACACCCATCACCTCTGGTTCCAGAACGTTCCCATCATCCCAAAGGGAACCCCCAATCCCGTGGGCAGTCACTCCCCTTCCCCTCTCCCCCAGCCCCGGGCCACCCGCAGTCTGCCTTCTGTGTCTGGTGTCTTTCACTCAGTTGGATGTTTTCAGAGTTCACCCACGGTATCGTGTGTGCAGGGCTTCGTTCCTTTTTGTGGCTGAGTAGTGTTCCACTGTGTGGACGGACCACGTTTTGTGTACCCGTCCGTTGGTGGACACTTGGGTCGTTTCCACTTTTGGGCGACTGTGACCAGTGCTGCTGTGCTGGGTGCCACATTTTATAGCCTCACAAGCTTAAGTTTCCTTCCTTCGTTTCTAATTTGATGAAGAAAACCTTCCCTGCTGCTTGTGGGCCTGGGCCCCAGGCAGAGCGCCCTGATCAGCAGCAGAAACCCTGGCTGCAGCCCCCTTGGTAGCCGGGCCCCTTCGAACCTTAGTTTTTCCGTCTGTACAGTGGGCGTCTTTACTCTGCTGTTTTTAAGGATGTGGTGAGTCTGGGTTTAAGGAAGTGACTCACAGGGAAGCACGGGGCATATAGGAAGCACTCAACTAAGCTCACTCTTTTTCCTTTTTTCTTTTTTTGAGAGAGAGAGAGAGAGAGAGCGCGCGTGTGTGTGTGAGTTGGGGAGAGGGGCAGAGGGAGAGAGAACTCCAAGCAGTCTCCACACCCAGCGTGGAACCCGATGCCAGGCTCGATCCCACAACCCTGGGATCGTGAGTCGGACTCGTGATTAGTAACACCAACTGTTACTGATGTTTTCTGTTTCTTCCAGGTCTACAGCAGCTCCGAGTTCCTGGCCGCCCAGCCCACGCCAACCTTCGCCGAACGGAGCTTCAGCGAGGACCGGGAGGAAGGGTGGGAGCGTAGCGGCGAGGGCGAGTATGGCCGCCGCCTGAGCATGGATATTCGGTAGGTGGGCTGGAGAGTATGAGCAGATCCAGCTTCCGAGCCTGCTGGGAGGTGGAACCACAAAATCTAACACTGCAAGGAGCTTCCCGGTGGCCCAGGAGAAAAGGGTCAGACACACTGGCTAGCCTGTCAGACCCCTGCCAGCGTGGCCCCTATCATTGCTGCCTCTGGCTTTGCGTCCCTTACCACAGCAGGCGTAAAGCAGCCGTGCACTGTCCTACTGCTAGGCTTCTGCTTGCTCCATTCCCTCTGCCAGCATACCCCTCGCTAACAAACTCCTGTCCGTTCCTCAAAGACCAGACCCAACAGAAATAATCAATGCCTACTAGAGGATGAGCATCGGAAGCTGGGTTTTAAAAAACGCCAATTCTCTGGGCAGAGGACGGGGCAAGCAGAGGGAACTCACCCTGTATTTACGAATTCCCTCTGGCTCTGGGCTGAGTGTTCAAATCTGGCTGCCAGGGGTAACTGGGTGTCCCGGGGCGACGGCGCCTGGCAAGTGTGACTTTGGCCCTTCCCTGCAGCAGCCTGAGGTCCTGGACGTCCTCTGGTACTTCCTGTCCGTCGTCTTCCCAGCCCGAGCGGGGCCCCAGCCCGTCTCTCTTGAGTACTATTAGCCTGGACACGATGCCCAAGTTTGCCTTCTCGTCAGAGGATGAGGGAGCCAGCCCAGCCTCTGCGGGCCCCAAGAGGCCCATCTTCATTCTGGGGGAGCCCGATCCACCCCCAGCAGCCACCCCAGTGATGCCCAAGCCCTCAAGCCTTTCTGGTAGGTGAGGTCCAGGGTGGGCGGGATAGTGTTGTAGAAAGTTTCCCAGAGGGACTATTTGAGATGGGTTTTGAAGGATAAGTAGGAGCTCCCCAGAGAGACCATTCGCCTGTCTAACAAAGGCTTTAAGATAGGAGAGGCCAGGGTTCCCAGAGAATCCTCGAGCCTCAGCTTGTCGCCCAGTCTAGGGGTGATACCCGCAGCTTCACTGGGTCAGGATGGGACTGGAGAGGGGGGTGAGACCGCAGAGCTCTGAGGGGTGCTGGGGGTCTGACGGGTGGGAGAAGGCTGCTTAGAGGAAGGGACTTGCAGAGTGGAGCTTTCCAGGGAGAGCAGTGCAGAAAGGAAGTATGGGAAGAGAGAACCCTCTAAAGAAAGGCCAGGTAGGGGCGCCTGGGTGGCTCAGTCGGTTGAGCGGCCGACTTCGGCTCAGGTCATGATCTCACGGTCCCTGAGTTCGAGCCCCGCGTCGGGCTCTGTGCTGACAGCTCGGAGCCTGGAGCCTGTTTCACATTCTGTGTTGCCCTCTCTCTGACCCTCCCCCGTTCATGCTCTGTCTCTCCCTGTCTCAAAAATAAATACAACGTTAAAAAATAAAAATTTTAAAAAAAGAAAGGCCAGGTAGCCAAACTAGGGTCCACGCTGACCGGGGAGGAAGGGGCTCTGCCTGCCGAGGGCAGAAGGACTGAGTGGTGAGACTGGCCGGGCTGACCCCCAACCCTGCTGACCCCTAGCTGACCCAGCCGCCCTCAGCCACGCACGCCTACGGAGCAACAGCATCGGTACACGGCACTCGACACCACGGGCCTTGGATGCTGGCCGAGGCCGCCGCCTTGGGGGCCAAAGAGACCCAGCTCCCGAGAAGTCTCGGGCCTCCCCCAGCGGGGGCCGTGTGCCCAAGTCCGCCTCAGTGTCCGCCCTGTCGCTCATCATCACGGCCGGTAACGCACGTGGCCCAGCCTCGTCTTTGCTTTGTCCGTCCACGTCTGTTGTAACCGCGGGGCTCGGGCTGTGCCACGGGAAGGGGGAAGGAGCGAGACACGGGGAGAGCTGGGGGGCCGGCACTCCTGGCGGAGGGCACTGCATGTGCAAAGGCCTGATCGGGGGACCGTGCCTGGGACACTGGAGCAGCAGCAAAGCAGCCAGGATGGTCAGCTTGGTGGGAAGGGGAGGTGCCCTCCCCACCCTCGTCCCTGCGAGGGAGTGACCCCCCCCCCAACCCGTGTCCTTGCAGATGATGGCAGCGGCGGCCCCCTCATGAGCCCTCTGTCCCCACGCTCACTGTCCTCGAACCCGTCGTCCCGAGACTCCTCTCCAAGCCGAGACCCGTCCCCCGTGTGCGGCAGCCTGCGGCCCCCCATTGTCATCCACAGCTCGGGCAAGAAGTACGGCTTCAGCCTGCGGGCCATCCGCGTCTACATGGGCGACAGCGATGTCTATACCGTGCACCATGTTGTCTGGGTGAGCTGGCCTCGGGGTGGGCAGGAACAGTGGGACTTGGTTTGAGTCTAGCTTCACCCTGGCAAGGCACTTCACTTTGGGAGCCGCGTTTTCTAGTCTTAGGAAAGCAAGCTCATTGGCTGAAAGGTTTTGGAGCCCAGGGCAGGGAGCTGGTGCCACCTGGGTCTTTGCAGCCCCTCTTACTTAGGGGGAGGGGGTTGGGCAAGACGGACAGGGATGGACAGAGGGGTAGAGACCTCAGTTGGGCACGAAGCTCCCGCCCCACGCCCGCAGATGCACCCTGGGTGTGATGTCCTGCCTCCCCCCAGCCCAGGGCCCGTTCCCTCCCTGCCAGCACCCAAGGTCAAGGAAACCACGTGAGTGGCAGCAGCTTGCTGGGGTCCCACAGCTGACCCAGCTGGGCCGGGGTCTCCAGCTGTGGGTCCCAAGCCCCCTGACCCTACCATCCACCCCCAGAGCGTGGAGGAAGGAAGCCCTGCCCAGGAGGCGGGCCTGCGAGCTGGGGACCTCATCACCCACATCAACGGGGAGTCAGTCCTGGGTCTGGTGCACATGGACGTCGTTGAGCTGCTGCTGAAGGTTCAGCCCCCCATCTTCCCACCCTTGGGACTTCCAGACCCCCACCCAACTCTGCCTACCCTTGGGGCTCCCAGAATCCCCACGTCCCGTCCATCCTCAGGGGCCCAGGTCTGCCCCCACTGCTTTGCTCCTGTGACCCCTCAGCTTTTGATCCTGAGGTTCTCCCCTCTGGAACCACACCTTTCCACACCTGGTCCCACCTCCAGGCCTTGCATGTCCCCTCCCCTCTGCCCAGGACGTACATCCTCCTTTGCCCCCTGGGTGCCCCTACGTTTGGCCCTCCTCTGGCTCACCCTGGCCTTATGAGGCTGGGGGTGTCTGTATTATCTTTATCTTCCTCAGGGGGGCTGAGGCCTGGGGGTGGGGAGGTGGGCCCAGGCCAGGAGGCAGGGCCTTGTTTGGAGAGCTCCTAGGACCGGTGGGTGGACAGGACAGGTGGGCAGCTCATTGCATGGATGGGCAGATGACGGACATGCATCTTTGGCCCAGTGAGTGGCAGGTCAGTAGGCGAGAAGTGGGTAGATAGGATCTGGGGCTCTGACGGATGAAGAAGTGCGTGGGGGGCTTGCTAGGTGGGAGACCCACAGGTGACCCCCTCGCCATCCCTCCTGCAGAGCGGCAACAAGATCGCCCTGCGGACCACAGCCCTGGAGAACACCTCCATCAAGGTGGGCCCCGCCCGGAAGAACGTGGCCAAGGGCCGCATGGCTCGCAGGAGCAAGCGAAGCCGCCGGCGGGAGACCCAGGACCGGTGAGCGAGGGGTGGGCCTGCGCGGAGTGCTGCAGAGGACCGGGAGCAGGCTCCCTAGACTGCTGGGGACAGGGGTTCTGACGCATCGGGTCTCTCCCCCTCAGGCGGAAGTCGCTCTTCAAGAAGATCTCAAAACAGTCCTCTGTGCTGCACACCAGCCGGAGCTTCTCCTCCGGCCTCCACCACTCCCTGTCGTCCAGCGAGAGCCTCCCGGGTTCGCCCACCCACAGCCTCTCCCCCAGCCCCACTACGCCTTGCTGCAGCCCAGCTCCCGAGGCCCCCGCAGGTAGGTGTGCCCCCCCCCCCGCCCCGCCCCGCCCCGGGGCCACCCTGGGGCTGCTCAGGTCTGTGGGGCCTGACCCCGGTGAGGACGCTGGCGGGGTTTACAGGAGGGAATGACATGACATAGGAAGTGAGGGGACCAGAAGGGCCTTTCCAGTCGCTGGGAGGGAGGAAGTTGGGAGATGGGTCAGGCCAAGGAGCTGGGAGGGAGGAAGTTGGGAGATGGGTCAGGCCAAGGAGCTGGGCTTAAATTGGTGGGCAGCTGGGAGCTATGGAGGGTGTGTGAGCTAGAGAGGGCATGTTTTAGAAGGGTCTGCGTTTTAGAAAGATCATTCCGGGGCAGGAAAGGATGGGGCCCAATGTCTGTGAGAGACAGCCAGGTGCAGACACCCCTAGGCTCACTGGGTCAGCATCCAGTGATGGGAGGACCAGGCTGGGGCACCCCTGAGGGGAAGCAGGGAAGGCCTCCTGGAGGAGGCCCCTGCTCCAAGAAGCCCTCTCTGCCCCCTCTCTACCCTGACTTCGAGGGGCTGAGGGTATCTGTGCCACCTTTCCTTTCCTCAGACCAGGTATCCTCTGCAGCTGAGGCTTGGGGTGGAGGGGCGGTCACGGGGCAGATGGTGGATGCGTACCTTTGGCCCATTGAGGGGTAGGTCATTAGATGAGAAGTGGGTGGATAGGAACTAGGGCTTTGATGGATGAGTAGGAGTTCACCAGATCTAAGCCAAGGGAACACCTTGCACACATTACAGGAGGCGAGAAAGGCAGGCATACTGGGTGGCCGTAGGCAGAGACGTGGGCTTTGGCAGGCGCTCTCAGGCCCAGGGCCCCACGACAGGGCTGGGGACATGCAGGCCGGTGGCCCTGACCCTCATCTATCACCCACAGACACCGCATCCCCTCCCAGTGCATCCCCGAGCTCCAGCAGCCCTGCCTCTCCTGCCGCCGCTGGCCACACCCGCCCTAGCTCCCTGCATGGCCTGGCCGCCAAGCTCGGGCCACCCCGCCCCAAGGCCGGCCGCCGCAAGTCCACCAGCAGCATCCCGCCCTCCCCACTGGCCTGCCCCCCGGTGCCCGTGCCCCCACCCCGCTCACCCTCGCCCCTCCCCGGGCACCCACCTGCACCCGCCCGGTCTCCACGGTTGCGCCGGGGCCAGTCGGCTGATAAGCTGGGTTCGGGTGAACGGCTGGATGGGGAGCTGGGGCGCCGCGGCCGCGGGCCAGACTCGGAGCTGGTAGTCATGCGGCGGCTACACCTGTCCGAGCGCCGTGACTCCTTCAAGAAGCAGGAGGCCGTGCAGGAGGTGAGCTTCGATGAGCCACCCGAGGAGGCCGCCGGGCCGCTCACCTCTGTGCCGCAGATTGCCGTGGAGGGCGCCGAGGCTGTGCCAGGAGCCCTTGGTCCTGCCGGGAAGGACTGATCCCTCCCACCCGGCCTCCCCCTGGCCTAGAAGTTGGGCTTTTTCGTGTGCAATGTTTTTTCCGTCAAGCGACTCTTGGATGGAGCCTGAGCCACCAGACTGTGACACCTGGAAGGCGAGAAGCCATCTCAGTCCTTACCGGAAAGTAGAGACAGCACCTCCTTCGTGTTCCGGTGCAGATCAGGGGCCGTACGTGGGGGCAGGAATGGGGGACAAGGGTGGCATTGTAAATAGCAGCAAATCCCTGCGACTAATTTATTACTTTTTATAAGCGATAGGTAGACTGAGCCACCACCGTGAAGGTGGCAGCCCGGGTCCTGCCCCTTGCACCTGGGACCCCATTTGCAGATGCTGCCCCCTGGGCTGAGAAGGAAGCACTTTGGACAAGTTACGTATGTTTGTGTTTTCTAGGTTTTCTGTATGTTTTAGTTTTGTGTGTGTGTTCCTTGATCCCATCCTGGCCCAGGACCCACTGACCTGAGGGGATACAGGCAAGCTTAACCTGTCCGGGCCCAATGCGGATAGGACTTGGAGAGTCTGTAAACGATTCCCCTCCACCACAAAACAAAGCAATCCCGATGAGGGGCTGGACGCTGAAAGCTACGTCTCACTGTCATAGCCTCGATCCCTAGGCCAGTCTCGCTAGAGTTTGTTTCTAGTCCTGAAGGCTTCAGCCCGGGGGAGGGGGTGTGGGACCTGGGACCTTGATGGAGGAGCAGAGAGGTCACCCACTCCACAGGGGGACACTGATGCCCTGGGGTGGGGAGGGAGGCGCAGGCTTCGAAGGGTACTACTGCCAGGGCAGGGGAAGAATGTCCACCCTGGACAAGATTTCACGTGCTCAGTGCCCACCAGGGTGAGCCCTTGACCATGATGTGTCTGAAACACCCTACGGAGGGTTCCCGCAACGTATCGCAGCCTTCCTAGAATGAAATTCGAGTGAGAAACCCAGCTGGGGGGCAATGGGGCCCAAGTTTGAATCTTGGCTTCCTCGTGTGGCTCTGGGAAGATGGCTTTCCCACTCTGTGCCTCAGTTTCCTCGTGTTTACAAAACTAATCCCAATGACTATTTATTAAGCATCCGCCCTATGCCAGACGCTTTTACTCGTGGCTTCTCCCCCGGCCAGCCTTGAGAAGGCTGCAGGTGGCGGTGTCCTCCCCATTTTACGGACACGTAACCGAGGCCTGGCGAGGGGTGGAGACGTGTCGCACGATCACCTGGTAAAAAAATCACGCAGCCAGGCCCCGTCGTGGGCACTGTCGACAAGGGAGCTTGAACGGAGAGTCTGGTGTCGGATACAGCAGATCCACCTCCAGATCTCTTCCCGGGCTGCTGTGTGACACACACTGGGCGCCTCAGAACCGCCACTTCCTCTGTGGAGGTGGCCCGCCAGATCCCCGCGCCCCACCTGATGAGGGCACGTTCCAGGCACGGTAGCCCACTCTGCATCCCTCCCAGAGACCCTCGCCCAGCACTGGCTGGTGCTGGAGCTAGACCAAGGCTGTGCATGACTTGTGCCCCCCCACCCCCCTTCCATCCTGGAGCTGACCGTGAATAAAAGCCCACGTTTACAAAGAGGAGGCCCAACGTCTGGATTTGTGAGGGGCAAAGAAAGGGGTAAGGGGAGAGAGTGTGGTGGGGACGGGGTGAAAACTGACTCCCTTTGAAGGGGTTTTGAAGGTGGCACAGGGGTTCGCCAATGAGATTCTCCCTGATGTCTTCTCGGGTCCCTGGCCTCCTCCTGCCCTCTCCCCGAGTACCCATCATAGGCTCTGCTCTTAAAAGCTTCATCCGGACACCGATCTGGGGCCCCGAGCTGTGTTAATAAAACAAATAAAAAACATCTCTGTGTCCTTTCTATACAAGTCTTCGCTGGAACTGTGCCCTGTCCCCCCACAGCCCCCCACGCCGCACGCGAACCCACCCCAACTCCGTGTTTTTGGGTTACTTCTGGGCAGTACTACCAGAAGCCCCGGGCCACGCTTCCGAGTGTCTTCGGCTATTCCGGAAACAATCGTCCGTCTCTGGGTCCTCGTTGGGCGTGTTCCCGCGCTCGCTGCGCTGCAAATAGTTCAGCTGTTTCCGGACGCTCTGGGCTGCCATGGAAACGCTTTCAATCCCAGCTTATTTGGCTCTTTCCTGAAAAGCTCAGATTTCTGTGGCGAGCTCCCTTCCCACCCCACCGCCTCCTGCTCCCTGAGCTCGGGGCCGCCTCGCGCCCTTAGGACCCATCCATCAGTTCCGGAAACTGGTGGTCCATCCCTGGCTCTCGACTCACAGGGCCTCCCTCTGGGTCCGAGCACACGCGGTTCTTTGCAGAAACTGCAGTCTCGGGGCTCAGCCTCGGTTCCATCAGTCCCGCTGGTGGGGGGGGGGAGACGCTCGGCGATTTCCGGAATCACTCGGTCATCTCGAAGCCCAGGCGGGCCCCGCCGAGCTTAGGGGAAACGCTTAGCTGACGAGATTGCGCTCGGCTGTTTCCGGAAATGCTCGGCTATCTCGTGGCACCCTCTGCCCGCCAGTCCCGCGGGAGGATGTTCGGCTCTTTCCGGAAATGCTCGGCCATCCCGAGGCTCCGCCCCCGCCTCGCTTCACGCGCCTGACCCGAACGCGCTCGGCCATTTCCGCCGGGGGCGGGCCCGGCTGTTCGGAACCGCGGCGGCTGTGGCGGAGGCGGGGATCCCGCGGCTGCGGCGACGGCGGCCGCGGCGGAGCCACGGGTCGGGCTCCGCTCCGTGTGACGGCGGCCGCGGCGGCGGTGGCGGCCGCGACCAGGTAAGTCCAGGCCGGCTGGCGTGGCAGGCTAGGCTGGGCGTGCGCGCCAATGCGGGGCGCCTAAGCAGAGCGCGGGGCCGAGGTGGAAGTCGGAACGCGAGCGCCTAGCCGCATCGCGCCCCGCGGGAACCGGGGGCCTCCGGGAGCAGGAGGCCTCGGGTTCGACCTGGCAGCGGTGCAGGCTGCCCCGGACGGTGGGGAGAGGAACGCGGTGCCCCCAGGCAGAGATAAGGCGCTGGGACTGCGGCCCCCGATGGAAGGAGGCCCTGCCTGGAGTGGGGCGTCGAGCAGTAATAAGGGGCACCCAGGCTTTGTGTGGGACATGGTGAGATGCAGGAGGGTCGGGGGTCGTCTCCGCTTCCGTTCCCCTGGGGGCTGCCGGGTCCACGCAGGCCCGGGCACGCCTCTGAATACGCGTGAGCGCGCGGGCCCTGCGTCCAGCCGCCGAGCCCCTGGCCAGGCCTGGCCCCTCCACCCGGCCTCTTGGATTCCCCGGGCGCACACACCGGGGCGTGTGCAAACGTGTGCACGTTGGGGCGCGGGGGCCGGCAGGCGAGCGGATCCAGGCGGTCTCCTGGACGTCCCCTCGCTGGGCCTCAGTTTCCCCACCTGTAGAATGGTGGTACCGGGTCCAGGAAGCGGGTACGTTTGGGCACCCCGGAACGGGGAGCTTCTCCTCCCCGCAGAGAGTCCCTTCTGGGGCTCTCGTGGTCGGGGCACAAAGCCCCGAGCCCTCTGTCTGGCACTCGAGGACCAGCGCGGGCGACGGCGGGTGGCTTTCATCGGGCCACCCTGAACTCTTGGCAAGCAACTTCCCACTGTCAAGCCTTTGCACGTACTATTCCCTCTAGCCAGTACTCTCTCCTGCCCTTTCTGAAGACCCGCCCTCTAGAAAAGCACGCCCTCCCCCACTCCCCAGTCTCAGGAAGACCGAACCTGTGGGGCTGAGACTGGGAATGCTGTCCGTGGCGGGCTGTTTCCCCGAGGCTGGGCGCTCCCGGGGCGTGATCACCGATCGCCATGCATCCAGCAGCCTCCCCCTTGGCAGCTGTGATGCCCTCCTGCCATGAACACTCTCCTGGCTGCATGGAGGTCCCCTTGTCCGCCCATCACCCCCCCTCACGTTTTGAGATCCTACTCTAGGCCCCTCATTGAGCCAAGCCGGAACACGCACGCACGCACGCACGCACGCACGCGCGCACCTTCATCTCTCCCCACGCAGAGACCTTGGACTCACTTGTTAGTCCTTTGCCCGCGCTGGGGCCTCCAGCTGGACCTGCTTTCCTACCTCTTTGCTTCCTTGCTGCCTCCTGTGTTCAGCTGGCCCGGCCCCTCCTCGGGACTCCCATAGTACCCTAAGCATTCCCCATCACGCTCTGCCCACTGGGGGGTCTAACTGGCTTCGTGGCCCACTGGTCCAACAAAGACCTCCCTGCGCTGAGCCTCAGTTTCTCCATCTCTAACAGGGGCGATGAAGAGCGTGCGATATGCCTGGGGCAGAGCTCGCCAGGACCCCAAGGGCTGCTGTTACGCCCATTTCACATCTGGGGAAACAAGACTAGAGAGGGGCTGGGACTGGCCCAAGGGTACCCAGCGAGGGGATTCCAAGCTCAGATTTGGGCCCATCTCTGGGGTGGGGGTGGCAGGAGCCCGACCCGGCTGACGCTGCCCTGCCCATCTCCCCCTAGGTCGGCGTCCTGGCCAAGCATGGTGACAGCCTGTGCCCTCGGCCCCCTCGTCTGGCGCAGCCGGAAGAGCCGCCAGCCTCGGGCGCCGATGGCCCCCCGTGTGAGGGAGTGAGCAGCCTGGCCCTGCCCTACGGATCAAGGGGGGACGCAGCGGCCGAGTGACCTGAGACCACGCTGCCGACCCCCTCCCACCAGTTGACGGATGGTGGAGCGAGCCATGAGCGACCCACGTCAGGGTCGTGGAATGATGGTGGGAGGCAAGGCATGAGTGACCCCCGTGGTCACCTGTAACTAACTTCTTGGCAGAAATAGTGGTCTCGGTGCCCCAGGCCGACTCAGCGGACCCTCCCCGGCCGTCGCCCCAGCCGATGGGGCCACCGGGGCCCCGAGCCGCAGCTTGACCGTCCAGACCCCACCCTGCCCAGCCATGGCCGGCGCCGAGGGCTTCCAGTACCGCGCGCTGTACCCGTTCCGCCGGGAGCGGCCGGAGGACCTGGAGCTGCTGCCCGGGGACGTGCTGGTGGTGAGCCGAGCAGCCCTGCAGGTGCTGGGCGTGGCCGAGGGCAACGAACGCTGCCCACAGAGTGTGGGCTGGATGCCGGGCCTCAATGAGCGCACGCGGCAGCGAGGTGACTTCCCCGGCACCTACGTCGAGTTCCTGGGTCCTGTAGCCCTGGCCCGGCCCGGCCCTCGTCCGCGTGGCCCCCGCCCACTGCCCGCCAGGCCCCGGGACGGGCCCCCTGAGCCAGGTGAGCAGCAGGCAGGGGGCCCCCGGGCGGGGCGGGGGTTCCCTCAGAGCCTCAGCTTCCTCTTCTTTCTAGTGAGACAATGGCACCCCTTCCAGGGGAGGAGGAATAAGGACATGTGGTTGGTCAGCAAGTGTTGACTGCACTGCTGTCGAGGGCTGGGCACGGTTCACGGCGCCGGGGACACAGCGGTGGACACGGGCCCGGCCCCGCCCCGCCCTTGTGGGGCTCCTGGTGCAAGAAGTGACAAGTGACGAGAAGTGACTAGGTAACGAAAAGGGCTGTGAGGAAGGAGCCTCACGAGGGGAGAGCTGGGGGCGAAGGGCTCCGGGCGGCAAGCACAGCAAAGGCAGAGGCTGAGAGGTAGGGATGGAGCGGCGGATTCGGGGAACAGCCCGTGGAGCCGAGTGGGAAGGGAAGGGCCACGCAACAGGGGCTGTGCCTCAGGGACTTTGTGGGATTGACTCTGAGCACAGTGGGGAGCGTTCGGCAGGATTCAGAGGTTCACTTTAGCATCGTCCCTCGGTTTACCGATAGGGTCCCTTGAGAAACCTCCTCTCTGTTGCCCTAAGTTTACCTGGGTTCCAAAACGGAGGGAGCCACAGAGCCTAAATAAAGAGGATGGGATGATCATTCCAGGCCATGTAGCACACTGGGGTATGAGGACCCCACATGCCTCCCCCAAAGACCCTTGGCCATCTACACTTCTGAGGCACGTGGTAGGAGTGCAGAATGAGGGCACTGGGGGTAGGCTGAAATCGCTGTCTGCTGGGCAGGGCACATGGGTTCCAGCCAGGGAAACCAAGGCTCAGGTTGTGGGGAGGAGGCTGGTAAGTGCTGAGTGCCTGGTAGTCTGCTCCCCCACCCCCCGCCACAGCAACCCAGGGAGGCCCCGCCTACAGATGGGGAGACCCAGGTGCAAAGGAGTCAAACCACTCACCGTGGGCACATCCTCCAGGGAAGACCAAGGCCCTGGGAGGCGCCATGGCCCCAACCTTTGGCCTGCCCGGTTTTGTGCCAGAGGGACATTGATGCCCCAAGAGGGTCACAGCAGAACCCCACAGCATGGGGCCGAGTTGGGGGGGGGGGGCGGGAAACAGAGGCTGTGGTGTGGTGCTGCTAGGGGTTTGCAGCATCTGGCGCCTCCAGGGCCGGGGCCTACGTCCCGCCTCAGCCTGGAGGAGCAGGAGGCGGCCCCATCCGGGCTCCCAGCCAAAATCTGCCTCTCCCCCTGGTAACAGCCGCCTCCCTCCTCTGCCTGGCCTCGGTCCAGCCACCACACACATGCCCACTCCGAGTGGCTGCCCAGCCCCGCCCTCCAAGTCTTCCAGGACTAGGTGACAGCGGCTGGGGCCAGCCCTCTCCAGGC